AAACATTTTTTTCATTTCATGGAAATAATGATAACGGCAAAACAACCATTAATTAGTATTGTTGTTTTATATTTTTCTCTCTCTCTCTCTCTTTCTCTATCTCTCTATCTCTCTATCTATCTATCTATCTATCTATCTATATATCTTTGTGTGTCTTTAACACGAAAGAGCATCGTAGACTCGGGAATTTCACATGAAGTATTTATTCATCAGGTTCTCTGGTACGTTGAAGAGCCGGGACAGGAATTTCATAATGTCGGTGTCACACGGTAATATTGATTGAAGGGCCCAACTACCCTTCTCTCTACCTTCTCTCTGTATCCACTAACTCGTCCTCTCTCTCTCTCTCTCTCTCTCTCTCTCGCTCTCTCTCTCTCGCTCGTTCACTTCGGTCTCTTCGAGCTTCTATCTACGACAAAAATGTTGCGGAAGCCGTCGATCGTAAGGGTTGCATCGGCTGGAAAAGATTGAATAGTGGAAGAATGAGACAGAATGAGAGACAGAGAGAGAGAGAGAGAGAGAGAGAGAGAGAGAGAACGTTTCACAAATTTTCCAATTTCTTGCACAGTACAATTCACTTTAAGAATGTTGATTTTATGACAAATTATTCGATCCTAACAATAATACTTACGTTGTACGTATAACTACGATAAAATTCTTACTGTTTCTCATTTTGAATGAAATTATAAATGAATAATAATGAGAAGGAAAAAGAAAGAGAAAAGAAAAAAAAAAAAGAAAAAAAAAGAAAGGAAGAAAAAGAAAAAAAAATATAAGTCATCGTCGTAGAATTTATTTTGGTATACTTACTATACATACGTGTACCCGTAAGTAGATCTTTGATAAAATATTCATACGTTCTAACGTATATATAAAACTAATCGATTTGATTATATAACCTTCGAAGCCACGATCGAATTACTCTTCTATTGAATAGATTTCTAAGAAAATTGTAAATAAATGCAATTAAATATCTATTTGCTTTAATACGATAGAATACAAAATGATTCGAGAATGAGATGATGATCGATAATATTTCTTATAACCATTAAATATTTTTGTTGAACATATATGTATATATATATATATATATATATATATATATATATATATATATAATATTATTACTGTTATTAATACTATTTACTATCATTAGTATTATTATAGTATTATTATTATTATGCAGTGTTATCGTTCTTTCTCTGGTGAAAGGTCATAGACGCATGCAAAAAGTTTACCGCACGGTTTTAATCGCAATGGATCAATCGTAAGCTCGATCTCACGTAACATTTAACGTTTTTCCTGAAGATTCGTTCGTAGGATTTTAACGACATTTCTTTTTTTCGAACCTGACGACTAAGACGACGACGACGACTACGACGACGACGACGACGACCAGGACGATGATAACGATGAGGACGTACGCCTAGGGACATTCCGCCTATGACATTTACCCAAGACAAAAATACTTATAAATTTCTTTGCTTTTTTCTTAAATAACGAAAAAAAAAAAAAAAGAAGAAGAAGAAGAAAAAAAGAAGACTCATAGAGAAAAACATTTTCCGATATATCAATTTAATTCGAATTTACGTAAAATTTTAATCGCTTTCGTCTTAATAAAATATAAAATCTATATAAAAATTTTTTTCTACTATTTATTTATATACATAACATCACGCGTCATTTCTCTTGAAATTATATCAATCAATTTTTACGTAATTCATTAAAAAGAAAAAAGAATGAAAGAAAAGAAATGAAAAGAAATTTTTATGAAATTGAATCGTCGCCAATACATACCTCTTTTCCTCTTTTTTTTATTTCTCTTTTTTTTTTTATTTAAATATATATATATATATGTGTGTGTGTGTGTGTGTGCGTGTATTTGAAATTTCAAAAGGTTACAAATAAAAAAAAATAAATAGAAACAAATTGAAATAGAATCAATCGTCGAAAAGGAACAAATATAATAAACGTGGTTTTGTTATTCTATACAAAATTATTCATTTAGATTCGACGAATATCTTATGTATTCACGATTTCACTTTTATTCCATCGAGATATCGCGTAAACTTTTTTTCGATATCAGATTAATTATTATACAAGGGGATATATATCTTGCAATCGGGGTGACGAAGAAGAGAAATAAAGAAGAGAAAAAGAGAGAGAAATAAAGAAAGAGAAAGAGAAAAAGAGAGAGAGAGAGAGAGAGAGAGAGAGAAAGAAAGAAAGGGATAACGGAAGGTTGGTAGTGTTCGTTCGTTCGGCTCGATGCTCGCCATTTAATTCCATAATAATTCGCGGACTCCCTCCGAATTACGAGGAACTTTCTCGCCATCTGCTTTTCGCATCACGTACTCGCGATGAATGGACCAGAAGGTTACCACTATCACGAACTTGCCTTCAGTAGTGTTGGTATTCTACGAACCAGTCAAAGAAAAGGGAATGGGGTTGAGATAGGAATAAGAGATAGAGAACTTCCCAAACCTCTTTTATGTGTATTCATGTATATACGTATATATACATATGTATATACATATATATACATATATATATGTATGTATGTATGTATGTATGTATGTATGTATGTATGTATTTTTTCTTTTCTATGCGAATTCACGTGACTCTTCGTGAATCTTATGGTTAGAGAACGTGGCTAGAGAAAGAAAGAGATCGAGAGAGAAAGATTTCAACATTGCTATTAACTTTACGATTTCTCTCTCTCTCTCTCTATCTCTCTCTCTCTCTCTTTCTCTTTCTCTTTTTTTGCTTTTTTTTTTTTTTTTTTTTTTTTTTTTTATATAGTAGAGAAAAAAAGGGAGAGCTGAAGGCGGTAAAAAAGTTGCGGAAAAAGCGATAAGATCCGGATTATCGCGGCGATCACGGGCCATTAGTCGAACGAATCGTCCCTTTATCCAAACCCATGACTATTTATCTCTCTCTCTCTCTCTCTTTCTCTCTCTCTCTCTCTCTTTCTATTTCTATCTCTATCTCTATCTCTATCTCTATCTCTCTTTTTCGCTATCTTCACGGTCTCGCGATAAATATGCGACCGGAATATACCGAACGTATGGGAATTATTTGTTTTTTACTTCTATATACTATATGTACTTAGATGTATGTATGTATGTATGTGTGTGTGTGTGTGTGTGTGTGTGTATGTGTATGTGTAAACACATTTAAGTTCATGGCAACGATCCTCGGATACACGTAGATCTTAAATCGTTCGAAATAGTGAAATTCTAACTTTTAGAAGTAACAGAATGCTTTGGATTACCACGTTCTTTTTCTTTTTTTCTTCTTTTTTTTTTCCTTCTTCTTCTTCTTCTTCTTCTTTCTTCCTTCCCCTTTTTCTTTTTCTTTCTCTCTATTTTTTTTTTTTTTTTATTTTTTCTTCCTCTTCTTTCCTTCGAGTTTGTAATCAAAAAGAAAAGGGACGACACATTTATAGATGAGAAAAATATCCAAAGTATTTTATCCTCGGAGTGAATTTTCTTTTTCTTCTTCTTTTCTTTTTCTTATCCTTTTTCTTTTCTTTTTTTTCTTTTTTTTTTTTTTTTTTTTTTTTTTTTTGAGACAGTTTTTTATTTCGCATTCAATTTCACATTCTTATTATTAAAATTCGATCTAATGTAAGGGAGAAAAAAAGAGAAAAAAGAGAAGAAAGAAAGAAAGAAAGAAAGAAAGAAAGAAAGAAAGAAAGAAGTTCAAACTCCTTTTTTTCGTCTTCTTCTTTTTTTTTTTTTTCCTTTCCTCGGCTTTCTCTTCTTCTTCTTTTTTCATTTTTTCTTTTTTTCTTTTTTTTTTCTTTCAGTTTCTCTCGTAAAAGATCTCTCGTGTATCTATTATCGTGCGAAGAGCTCGGACCATTAGTCGAATGAATCCTTTTGAATACAATAAATATACTCGGAATAGAAGAGAAGAACTCACGCAAACGGCGTTCCGGAATTATTCCGCACCTTCCTCACTTTCTCTCTCTCTCTCTCTCTCTCTCTCTCTCTCTATCTATCTATCTCTCTCTCTATTTCTATCTCTCTCTATAGTTGAATCCTGGCTTCGATATCGGTTATAAATGGACGACGTTTTATATCTACGTTTTGGTCTCCAATAAATTTCCGTCGCGTCGACAAAATGCCGACGGGAGTGCTGCTGGCACAAGAACGAAGGAAAATGCTTCGCTTCGATATACACGAAAAATTGTGCGAGCGTACATACATTATGTATGTATACTATATGTCTCTAATGAAAACAAAACGAAACGAAACAAAAATAAATCTTTTTTTCTTTGGGGTGGGGCGGGGAGGAGTGGTAGGGGGAGGGGAGGGGGAGGGGAGGGGGAGGGAGGTAGGAAACAAATTTGTTTTCTTTTTTTTCTTGTTCTTCTTCTTCTTCCTCTTTTTTTTTCTTTACCTTTTCTTTCCTTTTTCTTTTTCTTTTTCTTTTTTTTTTTCTTCTTTTTTTTTCTCTTTATCAAAGGAAAAAGAAAAAAGATGAGAAAAAAATTCAGATCGAGAACAATTTTATATTAATTTTCATTTATTCTAGCATATTAAATTTTATACAGTTTCATTTAAAATACGAAATGGAATTTATTCGTCTATATTTTTTGTAATCTGTTTTTTTTTTTCTTTTTCTTTTTTTTTTCTTTTTCTCTCTCTCTCTCTCTCTCTCTCTCTCTCTCTTTCTCTCTAGATAAGAATTAAAAGAAAATAAGAATTAAATAATATTTTGTATTAAATTTTATTTTTAAGTAAGTAAAACGATAAGCTTCTTTTCGATCTTCGAAACGTCGGAAAGAGAAAATCTGAAATATTTTTCAAATAAATTAAACGTTTCAAATAAATTAAATAAATTAAACGTAAACTCAATATAATATATTACAATATAATATATAATATAATATAAATTTGATGATTAACATGATGGTTTTGAGTGAAGGAGAAACGGGTGGAACGTTTTGATGATGATAATTAAATCGGATTTTATTCTTCTTTTTTTTACAGGAGAGCTCACCTCAGAAATTGTCTCGAAAAGTTGAAGATGCTGGTACCCTTAGGTCCTGAAACTTCGAGGCACACTACGTTGGGCCTCTTGACCAAGGCCAAACGTTTTATCAAAGTGAGTAGCTTCGATGAATAAGTAACGTTAAATAAAATTAAAAACAAAAAGAAAAAAAAACAAAAACAAAAACAAAAAAAAAGTCAATCTTTGAATACTATCATTAGATGAAATGAGATATCTGTCCGCGTCATGTGTTAAACTGAAGGGTCAAATTTTTTTCCGCGATCTTCTCTTGCTCGTATGAAGTAAGATCAAAATAAAAAAAAAAAAGAAAAGAAAAGAAAGACAAAGGACAACAGAAAAACGAGAAAGAAGACAATGGAAAAAAAGAAGAAGTAGAAGAAGAAGAAGAAGAAGAAGAAAAGGAAGAAAAAAAAAATTAAGAAAGCTAAGTTTCCCCGGTTTCTTTTTCTGGTTTTATGACGATCAGAACAGCTACGGGTGGTCACGCTTGAAATCCATAGATACAGAAGTCGTGCCTCGGTAAAACTTCACCAGGATGAGAAAGATTGTTGGTTGAGAAGAGAGGGGGAGGGATGGCGAGGAGAATGGCAGGCGGGGAGAGAGAGAGGAATGGTCGTTTGAATATTTCATGGAGACTTCTGCGAAGTCGCGGTTTGTAAGAAGCGATGGTGAGAGAAAGAAAGAGAGAGAGAGAGAGAGAGAGAGAGAGAGAGAGAGAGAGAGAAATAGAGAGTACGAAAGGATAAAGAAAAAAGCGTCGTGGTTGTGTCAGTAGAAAAGAGGGTGGCGGGGGATGAGGTGAGGATGGATAAGAAGAACAGCCCGACAGAAAGGCAAGTCGGTATAATTAGCAAGAAAGATGGCGGAAAAGATGTCCGCCGAGTGTGAAAAGAATCGCGGTCGAGTACGGTCGTCCGTTGGAAATATTTCTCTCTTTTTGGCATCGTGGTATTGAAAGGAAAAGTAAAAAAAAAAAACAAAAAAAAAAATAAAAAAAAAAGGAAAGGGAAACGAATTCGAGAAGTCGATCGGATTGTGAACGTCAAGCCAGGACGAAGATATAAGTTCGTTTAAAAAGTACTTATCCCATTCTTTCCTCGTTTATCGACGAACCAACACAGGATGAGAATTTATTCGTTTTAGGAATATCGTAAATCAAACGTTCCTAATTCGAATCGATTTTTATCTCGAAGATTCGTCTTGCAGTCAATTTTTTTTTTTTTTACTTTTTCTCTCTCTTTTCTTTCTTCCTTTTTTCTTTTTTTCTTCCTTTTTTTTTTTTTACTTTTCTTCACTCTTCTTCGTTACTATCTCTTTGAAAATTATTCTGATAAAATGAATTCTCTTTCGATAAAATAATTTTTAACGTATGTTTTCTATTACGTACAACGTAAGAAACACGGCCATCTTGATTTCAAAGAATTTTATTTCTTCCATTTCGAAAATTATTTCTACAAAATCAGAATCCATGATGTTAGGATATAAGAGGAGAGGGAGATTACATTCTTTTTTTTCTTTTGTTTTTTTATTTTTGTTTTTTTGTTTTTTTTTTTGTTTTAATCGTTCTTTCAATAAAATCGTTTCGAATTTTTTCATTGCGTTATGATATAAGAAATTGGTCATCTTGATTCCGACAAATTTTATTTCTTTTATATTGAATATTATTTTTATAAAACGCAATCGAAATCGGAGGAGATAAGTTGAGATCACGTTTTATCGTTCTTTCGATGAAATTCATATCGAATATTATCGAAACAACGCAATCATCTTAATTTCTACGCGTTTTACAGTATACATTGCGCGTTCTTAATTCTTTCATGCATGATTCTTTTATTTATTCATTTATCATTATTATTATTATTATTATTATTTTCTTTTTCTTATTAGATATATTTAAAGAAAAAAAAAAAAAAAAAAAAAAAAAAATCAAAGAGAAAGAAGAAAACACATTATTAATTTAAAACCACGTAAGAGAGGAATCACGTGATTTGTGCGAGAGATCAAAATTAATCAAACAACGTTGAAAAAAATTTTTTTCTTTTTTTTTTACGACACGATGCGTATACAATTATACGAAAATACATTGATCATACCATTTAAGTATTAATTTTCCAATGGGAAGAGAAGGGAAGGGAAGGGAAGAAAGAAGGAAGGAAGGAAGGAAGGAAGGAAAGAAAAGAAAGAAAAAAAGAGAAAAAAAAATGAATCATACAGCGAGTTATCGACTAGCGTGGAAATTTGAATTTCGCGGCTTGAAGCGAGACTAATAGGGAAGGTCGAGTAATCGTATTTTCCATGGCTATGTCACGCACGGTGTATAAGACTACGGAAGAGAGAGAGAGAAACAGAGAGAGAGAGAGATAGAGAGAGGAAGAGAAAGAGAGAAAGAGATAGATACAGGTATAGGAAGGTAGCAAGCAACATTCTGGACAAACGCACATACATACTTACATACGACACACACACACACACGCGCGCGCGCGCATACTTATATACTATAAAACATACGTATATAGAGATATACGTGGCCAGAAACTCCCACGCAAAGCGTGCACGAACGGCCAAACGGTGGATACGCGCGACTGCACGTACCTCTGCAAACCATCCGTGTGCGTGGATAGGAACTCATAGTTACAGAGAGTTGAGAGAGAGAGAGAGAGAGAGAGAGAGGGAGAGAGAGAGAGAGAGAAAGAGAGAGAGAGAAGAGGAAGCGTGTACACACGCGGCTTACGCGCGTACGCCATTGTCCCGACGCTCTGTAATTTACTAACTACGCGTCCATTGTGCGTCGGCACTCTCTGTTTGTCCCGACACCTTACACCCCCATCGTATCTCTCTCTCTCCCTCTCTCTCTCTTTCTATCTTTTTGTATATCCCTTTCCGTTTATCTTTTTGTATATCTATCCATCTATATATCTCTTTCTCCCTGTTTCTCCTTTTTTTTTGTATATCTGTTTGTCTCTCTCTCTCTCTCTCTCTCTCTCTCTCTCTCTCTCTCTTTCTTTTTCTTCTTCTTTCTTTCCCTCAGAATATCCTCTAACCATCTATCTCTTTTTAGTCGTCCCACTCGATCTCTACATGTATATGTGTGAAAAAGAGAGAAACAGTGAGCGAGCGAGCGAGCGAGCGAGCGAGCGAGAGAGAGAGAGAGAGAGAGAGAGAGAGAGAGAGAGAGAGAGAGAGAGAGAGAGAGAGAGAGAGAGAGAGAGAAGAAGAAATCCCTTCGTAATTTTTTTCTCCCTTCTAATCATCAACGTCTCCTTGCCTCGTCGAGATCGTAGGTCGAGAATTTCAGACCTTTTTCTTTTTTTTTTCTTTTTTTTTTTTCTTTTCCCTTGTTTCTTTCGTTCTTTATTTTTCTTTTTTCTTTTTCCCTTGTTTTCTTTTCTTTTCTTTTCTTTTTCTTTTTCTTTTTTTTTCCTTTCTTTTGAAATAAAAGAGAAGTTCGTTAGAATGTTATTACGTATCTTCTGTGTGTACTTGTATGAGTACGCACATATATAATGTACATGATTACAGTATGCATCATGCATACATCAGTATGTATTTATACTGATCCCCTTTTTTTTTTCTTTCTTTATTTTCTTTTTTTATTTTGTTTTTGCTTTTATAGAAAAAATTCATTAAAGAGAGAGAGAGAGAGAGAGAGAGAGAGAGAGAGAGAGAGAGAGAGAGAGAAAGGCAGATGGATAATCGTCGTATCTTGTGGTTTCAAAAAAAAAAAAAAAAAAAGAAAAAAAAAACGTGTCGATTCTTTTTCTCTTCTCTTTTAAATACGACCGACAAAATGAAAGCAAGAGATAGAGAGAGAAACAGAAAAAGATACAGAGAAAAAGAGAGAGAGAGAGAGAGAGAAAGAGAGAGAGAGAGTGTTATTTTCTGTATAATAAAAGATAAAAAGAGCTTAGAATGTTCATTACCTAATGCGATGCTCGCATATACGCGCAGAACTGCGTTGCTTTTCGCGAGGTTCAT